CTGCTGTGATGTCGTGGGAAATCGGGTCAAAGGGTGTATGGCTCATGCTTGTGGCTGCAAGCTGTGAGGAAACACCCCGGGCAATATTGTGAGGACACCGACCGAGAGGCTTTTAGATCAAGGACAATTGTTGGCCTTGCATGTCTTTGGGGAGACACCTCAAAAACAGCAGTACGTGGGGATTCAGTAGGGCTCAGAGGCATCAAGAGAAGATGATGCACAGAGCTGATGCTGCATTTAATTCTTGTATCACATCTACATTTTCAAAGTGACGACCTCGTCTGTGCCCTCATGACAGTCTTCCAAGGCCATTGGCTGTTCCCATTTTATAGATGTGGAAACTGAGGCCAGCAGACCAGAGGCCTAGACCACACAGTGGCAGAGCTGTTGGCTTGGCTCGGGGTCTCTCTTAAGGCCAGCAGACCAGTTGTTCATCCGTTGACCAAACCCTCCGACCCACAGCTGGATTTCAGTTCTGTTATCCCTGCAAACTCTGCGTGGTGGCCTTGGTTTGAAAAAGCAGGGCTGACAGGCGTTCAGCTGATCTCTTCCTTAGGGACTCTAAGCAGCAGCAGGAGCACCAAGAGGGAAACAGACATGGGGAAGCTCTCCAAGAAATTCTCGTGAGACTCTCATGCCGTGACTGTGTGTGTTTGGCTCCACAGGCTTGCTATCCATGGCCAATTCTGGTCCAAACACCAACGGCTCCCAGTTCTTCCTCACTTGCGACAAGACGGACTGGCTAGATGGGAAGCATGTCGTGTTTGGAGAGGTCACAGAAGGCCTGGACGTGATGCGTCAGATTGAGGTGAGCGAGCGACAGGAAGTGAAGCTCCCGGAAAGCTGCTTTGCTCTCTAATGTGGAGAGAGAACTTGACATCTGCTCTTCTCTCTCTCTCTCTTTCTCTCTCTCTCTCTCTCTCCTTTTTCATAAAGGCTCAAGGCACCAAAGATGGGAAGCCAAAGCAGAAAATTATCATCTCAGACTGTGGTGAATACATGTGAACATTTGTGCAAGCATCAGGTGGGTGCGAATATCAGAGAAGTGGACTCTTAACTGCCTACCACCCCACCCCTGATGACTCTGCTGGAAGATGCTTACAAAGGACTGTTGTATCTCCTCTGGGTTCGGAACAGAAGAGACTTTGGAAATCCGTTTTGTACATAATTCCTGTAAAATTGCACCTATTTTTATAAACAAAGCTGGCCTTTTTATTTCTCCTCTTTGCTTTCAAGTACCTGATGTGGTTTTTTAAAAATTAACTTATTTGTTCATCTGTGTTGGCCTTCCATGTGCTGTGTTTTCTTTCTCTTTTTTTGTTTTTGTTTTTTTAAGTTAATTTTGCACTATGTTCAGGTTGTCTTCCAAGTGAACCTGCTGTCTGGAACATGCCAGGGGTTGAGGTCTCTTGACAGCAGAGCCAGAGATGGGAGGTTTGATTCCCTCCTCTCCTGTGCCTCCCCCGGGAAGAGCCAGCCTGGGTGGCCTTGGGCAAGCTCGATGGTCCCCCAGAAGAAGGGGCTAGGAAACCAGTTGTAGGCATCGGGTCCCTTGGAAACCCTGGGAAGGGTTGCCATAATTTGGACTGGACTGGATAGTGTGTAGTTATCACATTCTTCAGCAGATAAACGAGCTTCCTTATGAGGCTGAGGAGTTTGTGTGCTTCTCTGTCTCCTGTCTCATTCAGCCAGCCAACTCGTTCAGAGAGAGAGCCAGCCAACTCATTCAGATCTCAGAAGCAAACGGTTCTGTTTTGATCACGAGTTTCTGAAATAAACCTAATCCAAACTGGGGTTAATGAGAGACTGGCTTTGGCCTATAATCAGTGGTCACGGCTGGCCACAGTTCTTGCCTTAGTCCTCCTAATGAGGAACTGGCAGACGTTTCTGGTTGCATCTGGTGATGGGGGGACGGGTCGGTAGGTCATAAAAGCCCAAGGCACTTTCATGAAATGCTAAGCTACCGAAAGACAGCATGGTGCAGTGGTTACTGTGTTGGACTGAGAATCAGGAGACCCAAAACTACTCCCAGTTAAGTCCATTCCCTGTCCATTCCCTGGTTACTTACGGGTGGCCCATCTGACTGGCTTTGCAGAGTTGCTTGTGGGAATAATGTCGCCCGGGGGGGGGGGGGGGGTTAAAGCAGCCTTACGTCAAAGCAGAATTTCCCTGGCTGGTAAACAAGCAGCCCTCTTATCTCATCCTGGTCAGTGGCTCATCCATCCTCAGTCTAGGTATTCCGATAAGCATCACCCTGTCTTTTAAAGGCTTGCGTCTCTGGGAAGGGATTTGGTGCCTCAGAGAAGGCAGGTTGGCTACGTGAACCCCTCTGCATGGTGCTGTTGTTGGTATGTTTCTTTGGCCCTAGGGCACCTCCCTCCCCCTGCCCAAACATACCTGGGAGAAATGGCTCTACGAATGGCCCCAGGGGAAACTGCCAGTACTTTTGCCTGCCCCCTCCCCCCCCCGACTGTTGACATTTTTAAAGGCGAGGCAATAAGGGTGGAAGTGACACGAGGCGCCAGAAGATGCACAAGGTCAGTGCATTTCAAAAAGTGGCCTTGGCACGACCGTCTCCTGTCTGTGGAGGAGCTGGTTGGCAAGGCCTTCAAGACAAACAGCAGGAGGAAGGATTTCTTCACTCAGCGTGTAATTATGGGATCAGCTGCCACCGGATGTTAAACCTCCACCAGCCGCGGCTTTTCCAAACCAAACCGAGCTGACCCTCTCTCTGAATCAGGGATGACTAAAAATGAAACGTCCACCTTTGGAGACAAACATGTGGCTCGGCATCTGGTGCTGGCGTTCAGACGCCTCCTCCCGCCCTGCAGCGTTGCAGAGGGAAGCTCTGGGAAAAGAGAACACGGGGTTTGGATATGGCCTCGGGTCTGATCCAGCAGGGTGCTGTTACTACGCTTCAGCCCCAAGAGCAGCTTCCACAGCTCAGGCGCTGAGGACCGAGAGGCACGCGGGTGGGCGGGCGGGGCCCTGTCTCTTGACAGCTAGGAACGGGTTCTTCCAGAACATGAAAGGAGGTGGATGGTCTTCCCTAAAAGAGGTCCAACTGGAAAGGTTGAGTTTTTCTGGACCATCTTCCTGGCTGGCAGCAAGATTTTGGTGTGGGAAGCTGTAAAATCTCTTCTGCTCCAGGGGGATGAGGGAGAAGCCGGGATGCTTTGGGGCAACAGAGACAGATGTGCAATTATGGTAAGAAAAGTTTCGGAAGGCAGCTCCTTGTTCCCTTTTTTAGCAAGAGAGCAAGCATCGCCCTCGGGCTGCAAACGTGCTGAGCAGAGAGGTCTGGAAAGCTGGTGGTGACCGAAGGGGTGCGCCGCTTTCTTCCTCCAGGTGTGTGGGGGGGTTCGCCTATAACTTATGGTGGCCCTGGCAGAATTTCCAGGGTCTGTGAGACCCCTTGTTCAGGGCGTGGATTACTCCCAAAGTGGATTCCCAGAGCAGAGCAAGATTTGAACTTGGGTGCCCCGAGGACTAGTTGGACCCTTAACGCCACCGCTGCTCCGGATCTCAGTCTTTGAGCACCGAGACGTCGGCTTGGAGGCTTCGGGTCTAAGAGGGCAGCCGGGGCCCTGCCGATGACCGGTGGCGCTCGTTCCTGGGCAGCTGTTGATCTGGAATGAAAGGATCATACGGGGAAGGGGCTGTGCCGAATGGCGTGGATATCGGCCTGGCTGGGCGCACGCGGGGGCTCTGTGCTGCGTCCATGGGGCAGAGGGTTTAGGGTGACCTTACGTCACCTGTTCCTCCACATCTACACACATGGGACTGCTTGCTCCAGTTCTCGGCTTCAAGCCTCTTCTCACCGATTGTGTGGGTGAACTGGGGCAGAAAAATGTGGGGCTGGCCAGAGTTAAATCCTGCCCTCAGAACAAAGGGCTGGAAGAAACCGGTCCATGTGCCTTTTTAGCCAACTGGATCGTGGGTGCTTCTCGGAGGCTTTCTCAGTTGACCCAAGAAACAGGAATTCGTTTAGAGTTACCGCAGGTATAGGCAAGGAAAGCCCACAGTCATCGGGTTCCAGGCCAATCTCTATTTTAGTCTGACATGACATGAGAAAGCAAAAGAAGCAAGCTTTGGGGGAATTTATTTGCAGTGGAATAAAATGACGCCACAGACAGCTTTGGAATGGCAGTAAGGGAAGAAGACCACCTGTTAAGAGGATGAGGAAAAGCACAGCTAGGCCGGGAGCCCCCTTCCTGGTCAATGAGGGGACCCAACCGGCCTCGAGCACAACATCCAGACTGATGAAAAACGGGGTGGAAACTCCAGGGACTGCTGCCCATCAGGGTGTCCGCCTGCCTCATACATTTGCTGCAGCCAAACCCTGAAGTACTGGAAGAATAATTCTGAAAAGTGTGGAATGAAGAAATTTGCACACCAAGATAGATGGCATTTCTCTCCCCACAGCACTTACACACCCTAAATGACTCTATGGAGTGCTTTTATATGTATGCTTTGATTTTTTAAAAAAATACTCCAGTACCAGCATGATCATCTTTGACATGGAGATCGTCTGTCTATACAGCTGGGAACCAATCAGCCACTAACTCCCAGAAAATGGGTGGTTGAGTTTTCACAGGAGAAGGGGGGGAAAACACCTGGAGCAATTTCTCACTGAGCATGCCATCGTGTACGTGGCCTTCTGTGTGGCTTCCTTTTCAGGTGGCGGTAAAAGCAAATCACGCCAGAGGGAGGAACTGAGCGAGAAGACCAACGGCTCTCCTAACATCTCCCAGGCGTTTTAAGGCGAAGAAGATGGTGTGTTTTGTGTTGTGCGTGGGGACAGGAAGCCTCCTTCCCCAATCTCTGTGGCTTTACCTTCTTTGTGTCCTTCCTTACGAACCCCTCTAGAGCCAGCCAACTCTTCCCCTGGGGAGCCAGAATTTCCCTCCTGGAAAGCTGTGAAGCGTTTCTCAGAGCCTCGATCGCGTGAACACGACCCCCTGGCAGTGGAGCTGCCCTTGGGCCAGAGGGAGGAACTGAGCGAGAAGACCAACGGCTCTCCTAACATCTCCCAGGCGTTTTAAGGCGAAGAAGATGGTGTGTTTTGTGTTGTGCGTGGGGACAGGAAGCCCCCTTCCCCAATCTCTGTGGCTTTACCTCCTTTGTGTCCTTCCTTACGAACCCCTCTAGAGCCAGCCAACTCTTCCCCTGGGGAACCAGGATTCCCCTCCTGGAAAGCTGTGAAGCGTGTCTCAGAACCTCGATCGCGTGAACACGACCCCCTGGCGGTGGAGCTGCCCTTGGGGGGGAAGCACCGAGGTGTCTCGCATGCCAGTCCTTTTGCAAACCCCACCTGCCTCCTTCTGGCAATTTCCCCCTTTGCTCGAGGGTCTCGTGCAAAAAGGAGGATCGCAGCTGTTGCTGAACCCAAGGCTGGGTGTTCGGCACGCCCAGGGCACAGAGGCCCTTGTGTCGCCCACTGACGTCCACCGCTGGGACTTCTCCTCATTTTAGTTTGGTGTGGGTGGCATCTTTTGCACAGAAGCTGGAACTTCTCTTGAAGAGGGGATGGGCAAGGTGCAGGAAGCCCTGCCAACGGCTCCGTGCTTCAGGAAGAGCAATAGGTGACACCCTAGTAGCTTTCTTCTCCCCTGCCAGCCCAACTGTCCAGGACCTGTTTATACCAAACCTTGCAAGTTCAAGTCTCCATTCAGTGTTTTAAAAATATATAGGGGAAGGTCAAGGCTGAAAAGTTGCTCACTGTTGCAAAAGAAGCATGCGGATTTGCATGGTTTTAATTTCATTTAAAGTGCAAGATCAGCTGAGAGTAAGAGATCTGACCTGTTTGTGTGCCACGAAGTCAGGTTCTCACTTCCTGGGCAGAGACCCTTCCAGGAGAGATGGTCTTCGTTGGCTCAGGGTGCCAGCAGACCCGCTTCCAGCCATCGAGGGAGCCAAAGGGACACGCGGGGGGGTCAGCCGAGAGTGTTGGGTTGGGGAAGGCCGACACCTTACTTCCTGCGCCAGGGTCAGGCTGTTGCTTTTCTCCTGCTCGTGGATGGATGGAGGGGCTGCCTTTCCTTGGTGCCCCCAGAGGGTGGGTTTGGGGCTGTTCCTCCGGCTTTTCCTCCCTCCACCCCCTCCTCCAGCTGCAACTCAGCCTCAGTGGCAACCGCACGCCTTCACCACCATGTTGCGATGTTTCTTCAGGATGACATTGTTGTTGCTGTCGTAGTAGAGGACGGACGTGGCGCTGAGCTTGGTGGGGGCGCAGCAGGCCTTGGGGACAGCCTCTGGCTTCATCAGGTGGACCTGCAAGGCACGGGAGGGGTGGGCACAACAAACAGGCCACAGATCACAGATGTTGCTGGCATGCATTGGGTCATTCTCCTGCAGCCGTGGTGTACACACACAGACACACACTCTCTTGCTTTTTGGCCCTCTGTGCAGCCGCCCAGAGGAGGCCAGAGGTTCCTGCCCCCCCCGGGCCCAATTCCAGGTGAGCTGCTGGCACACCTGCCCTCCTTTCCCCCTCCCCCAAGTGTTGATTTCAAGAAAGGTTAAAGGCTTGAAAGAAGGATTTGCTTAGATGGGAACGGACATGTTAGCGGGTCTTGGGTCGGTGCAAAAAATATTTGTTCAAAAACATTCGGGTGCTCAAGTTCCGTCCAAAGCGCCTCCGAGGGACCCTTTGCTGGAAGGCAGCGGCTGGGATCCGGGTCTGCGCTCCTGGCCTGCACGGGAGACCCTCTGGGGGTGGGAAGGGTGCCTTGATTTCCAGCACAGGAGGTGTCTATTGCTGCATCTCTCTCCAGGGAAGGGGAGGCACCTTGAGCTGGCCCTGCCACGGAGGCAAGAGGGACTGAACGGAAGGGGGGGGGAACAATACCTCTCTCTCTCCCCCCCCAATCACCTAGGTGTTTGTCTGTGCGACAGAATGATGCTGCTCCCCACCGTCATCCTGGCTCCATCCAGTGGAGTTCTGGGGACGGTCGTTGGCAGAGGGAGAATTCCCCGCTAGAGAACTTAGGGGCGAAGCATTCAAATGTCCACATCCAACACCAGATCCCAGACTTCCTTAGGACGGAACCGTTTAAAGCGGCCCCCGACCGCTAGAGCTGCACGGTGGAGGTACAGGCTTTAAAAAAGGAACAAGTGACCCACTGGGACCACGGAAGGTGTTTAAAAGCCTGACGGCATTGTGGTGGAGGTTGGAGGGCAGCCTTCAGCTGGGGAGGGACGGCTCATCCAACCCCCCCCCTTCATGCTGCAGCTGCCTTCAATGGTCACCTGCTGGCTGCTAGTGTCAGGATCGAATGATACACAACCAGGAGCACATCATTAATGACTGGGCTTCCTTAAATGCTGAAGGAAGCCTAACAGTCACAAACCTTGTTAAATGAGCTTGCTTCCTTTTGCAATGGATGACCGAGAGGTAAGTGCAGACTTGGTTAGACAGCATGGCCCCTAATCCAAAGCAAGCAAAGAACCCCCCCCCCAAAAATAACCATATTCTATTTATGATAGTATAGCCACGAGATGCCACGAAGACCCCTCACACCTGCTGGACCCGAGGGGAGCATGAGCATGGTGCGAGGGTGGCAGGAGCATGCACAGGGCTGCCTGCGCCCTCCTCTCTCGTGCACATTCGCACGCTGCAGTGCCTGTCTCCCTTGGTCTGGTGGGAAGGTCTTGTGAGGCGTCGCCTTCTGCAATCAATCTCTTTCGAGAGGAGGATACTGACCAAGGATTGGAGGATGGCGTGGTTCGTGGCGTTCATGCAGGAGTCCAAAGGGAACGCGCACTCTCCTTCGCAGTAGAAGGCCGAGTAGCCCCTGGGGGCGATGACCCAGTCCTGAAAGAGCAAAGGAAAGGTGCTTGGAAAGAGACGGCCAGCCCACCACCACCAACAACCCCATGAGGAAACACACCGCTCGCTGTCCGGCCAGGAGACCCCTTGCCCCTGGGGTTTTTAGACCTCCTCGCACCAGTGCGTTGTAGCGCTAAAAGCACTGGGTTCAAACCTCTACCAGCCACAGATTCCACGCCTAGGCCAGCCGCCCCTCTCTGGCCCAGCCTGATCTACTTGGAAGGTTTGCTATGAGGAGGATAAAGGGTGGATTCGGTGAGGAGCCCTCCGGAAGAAAGGCAGGGACTAAACAGAACTAGGACTAAGAAATAGCGGGGGTGGGGGGACGGGATTGGAAAGCTGCTCCACAGCATGGCCATTGAACTTCTTCAAGTTAGCATCTCAAAAATATAATGGTAATAAAAATAAAAGCCTGAACAAGTGAGTTCTTTTAAACCCTGTGTTTCTGGGAGTTCTCCTATCTGAATGACTTCTCCTTTGAATAAAAGTTGGACGCGGGACTCCTGCTCCTGTCCAGAAAGGCAGCCCCTGGCCACGATTCAGAACAAGTGGGTGGTTGAAGAGAGGGCTGAACCCAGATAGAGAGGCTGCCTAAACAGCTCCCTTCGTGGGCAGGGGACACCGGGGCGGGGGGATCCGAGGAGTCTTGAACTGAGGCCATCCCCCATTTTGTAGGTGCATGTGTTGAGAAATGGTTCTGTGAAATGGCTTGATCCAAGGAAAATACTAGGTATGGGGCCAGAGACAGGGAGCAGAAAGCCAATCCCGGCTTGAGGTTATTTGCTTATTTTTCTGGGGAAACTCTTCACTATTGAAAGAAATGGGGAGGGGGGGGAGAGAATATATATATGTAGTTACCAGCCATCCAAGGTCTTGAAAACTGACATACAGCTCATGTCTCTTGCATACCTGCCTCCCTTCTGAAACATGGGCATCATCTGGGAAGGGAAAGAAGGGGAAAAGCTGTCAGGAAAAGATGGCAGAGGGAGAGGGGGAGGCTTTGCAGAATTCACCCCCCCCGGACCACTGCCAGAGCCAAGAGAAAGGAACGAAGGAAGGAAGGAGGAAAAGATGGCAGAGGGAGAGGGGGAGGTTTTGCAGAATTCACCCCCGGACCACTGCCAGAGCCGAGAGAAAGGAACGAAGGAAGGAATCAATCGATCGATCAATCAGCCTGAGAGGCCCATGTCTTCTTACCAAAGGACCCCGGGAGCCGATGCAAGTGAGAGAAGTTGTGGCTTTTCTTGCGCTGCCTCTTTCTCAGCTGTCTGACGCCTCGTGGGACGCGGACTTGGTTGTGGCTTGCCCGGAAGAACATCACCACGAAGGGCTGCTTGGAGCGTGGCCCGTGGCGGCCCAGGAATCCGGCCAGCCCAGGATCAATGCTCTGTCCTGGAAAACCCCAAAGTCAGACCCTTTGCACAAGGAGGTCTCCTCCAGCTTTCAGCCAGGTCCACTGGGGGGGGGGCAGTTAATCTCTTTGCGGATCATAGCCTGCCTCACCAGACCTACCCTGTAAGAAAAGGAGTCCCTCCGGACACCAAGGGAGGCTCACCTGACGGGCCATCCCCCACCGGCTGAGCATCAGGGCTCTGTGAACCCTTTTCCTCCAGAGGAAACCTAGTCGATAGGACAGGTGCCGCTAAACCACAGCAATGCAACATCTTAAATTATTTATGTAGATGTTTGGAAAGGTTAGGTCTGTTGCTTCCCAAACCAGAGAAAGCAATCATCAATGTTGGCCATGCGACGTGTGAATGGAAAATTTTGAAACAATCTAAATAAGAGGGGGGGGAAAAAAGATACTGTATAACTGGGGTTCTTTTGGAAAGTGTGATTGAGCCCATTGAATTATTCATTGACTGAGACAAAGCAATGCCTCTCTCTCTCTCTCTCTCTCTCTCTCTCTCTCTCTCTCTCTCTCTCTGTGTGTGTGTGTGTGTGTGTGTGTGTGTGTGTGTGTGTGTGTATAACGCCATTAATGCAAAAATACGGAAGACCTGAAACAAATGTTTTCTGGCTTTTCTGCTTTGGTTTGGCTTTAGTCACAATTACGTCAAGCTTTCCTGAACGGCCTTTGCAGAGGCCAGGTTGAAAGGGGGCCTGAGTTGTTCCCCTTTGACGCCCAATTTTAAGAGGGTTAAGAACTTCTGCCCCAAAAGGGAGCCCAAGCCTCCGTGCACAAGGCAGGCCTGAGATTTCGCCTTCTGTTTGGACGAGGCACCGGCCAGTGTTCAAGGCGGACACAGACCGCTTCGTCTTCCTGAAAGCAAGAATGGAGTCTCACCAAGCTCTTCTTCAAGAGCTCTTTGTTCAACAAGGCGAAGAGAAGAATATACTGTATTTCGTTGCCAATCTGATCTCTCTCTCTCTCCCTCCCCTCCCCCTTATCTTCTGTAATGCAGGTTGCTATGTGAAGAAAGGATTATAGCTGTGAGCTGCATGTTAATGGTTTTATCTTTGTTTTGATTGTCTGGGATCTTCTGACTTGAAATATGCTAGACTAGACTTTTAATATTAAAGTCTTTGTGAATGTCTTGCATTATTCCACTGACAGTTTATCTTTCTTCCTCAGCATATCCTTTGTTCCTGTTGACGTGTAGCTTTCTTTCTTTCTTTCTCCCTCTCTCCCTCTCTCTCTTCCTCTTTCATTTCATCCTTTGCTTACTTCTTTGTCAAAACATCTGGTCCTGAAAAATAATTCTGTCCTGAACTTTAGGATTCAGGATTTCTGCAAAATTTTATATGATGCCCAGAGTGCAGCAGTGAAACTGCTATTGTCGCAGTGGGAAGTGCTGCTAATTAAGGAGCGGCTGGTTGGCATTGCTGATCACACACCTGGTCACACAACAGTCATGTCTCTGGCATTACATAAATTAGCAGCAATTCACCTCTGTGTAGAATGATCTCCAATATAATTCTTCCCACAAGGAGTTTTTTTAAAAAGCTTCTCCCCAACCCTGCAATCTATAAAATTGTCTTCCTCAACGTGTAGTTCATTCTGGATATGCCAGCAGAAGATCCTTGGAACTGTTGTTGTTCCCAAAAGCAATATTTCCAACCTCTGCTCTGGGCTGACAAAGAGGTTTTGAGGTTTCCGGTGGCCCGTGTGCTTTTAATCAGACACTTCCCCTTTCTAGCTTCTACCCTACAAATAATTCATCTTTATCAGGAACACCATGTTAACAGCACTGCATCGGATCTATTCCGTTGCTGTTCTCTGTGGGGACAGGAGTTCCAATCAACAATTCCACCACCCCCTTCAATAGCAAAAGGATACTATTCTATAACAGAGAAACAAACCCAATAACGAACCACCACCGCCGTCAAAGAATTAAGAACTGACTAAGCCAGAGGACATTCATCAGAACAGCATAGGAAATGGCCGCTGTCCCCAGAACTGAGGTAGCAGCTGCACAGAGGGCTTTGCAGAGCAGAGTTTACATCTGAGTAAACACTGTAGAAGGAACTGAGCAACGAGGGGCACAGAGGATGACACAGCTTCGCACGGATTGCGCTGTTCGAAACGGCCGTTTTAAACAGGCTTCCGGTTGATTGTGGAAAACTTTGGCGATGCTAAAGGACCTGAGAGTGGAAGAAGCCTGATGTGATGAATATCTCTGTGTAGCCAAAACATATATGAATAGAAAGCAAAGCAAAGTGTGCTGCTGATATACCCCGCCCCGTAGTGCTTAAAGTTCTCTCTGGGCGATTTACAGTTTAATTATGCAGGCTAGCTGAAACTGATGGGATTGAACTCAGGTTGTGAGTGGAGGCTTGACTGCAGTGCTGCAGTTTAACCACTGCGCCACAAGGCTCCTTAAGAGTCTCTCTAAGACATGCTAGTACAGTACCAGCACGTCTCCGTGTTTTAACCCTTGTTCTCAGCAAGCAAGACGACAACAGTTTGTATCTCAACAGGGGTTTCTAAAATTAAAAGCTGCTTTAAAAAAAAACATTGTGGTAACATTACCGTTATCTGTTTCCACATAAAGTCTCAAGCCCAAGTTGTACTTGTGATTCAGTAGCCAATGACTGCTGGCAGCTACAATGTCAAACACGAGCCAGCCTTCTGTGCCAGCCGAGAAATCCTGAACATCCAAGAAAAGCAAGTCTGGATCCCTGGAGAAGGAGAAAAGGCAGGTCAGCAGAAATGGATTGAAACACACTCCTCAAAATACAAGATAATTTCTGAAATTCCCCACCCTGGATTGTAGGTAAAACCACGTTGAAACCCTGAGATTTCCCTTTATAAAATAACTACTACAATCCTATAAGATTTCCTCGGCATTTCGGTTGTGTGTGTGCTGCAGTATTTTTAAGTACTTCTGTTACTCATTGCGTGTATGATGTATCTTCTTTACTATAGAAGTCGTATCCATCCTAATGGCATTTTAAAAAACAGTCTACTTTCTCCTGTTTTAAGGGGGCTTCTGTACTGAGTCAAGCTTTCGTCATCCTGAAATCTAATATCTTGATTTGTACAGTTTACGAATAACTGACATAGATAGAAAGAGGGGGAAGACTGGCCCATCACCAGAAATGTCTCCTGCACAAACCTGGCTAGGAAGTAGGGAATGCCTCTCATGGTTTATCCCATTTTTTTTCCAATCAGCTGCCTTCAACACAGTTGGAATATGTTAAGAATGAAATTAGCTCACGCCGTTCAGTCTTTGTATCGGAAGCGGCCCATTCACATCAAAAACCTTGCTTTTACTGTACCTCTTGTGGTGTTCCTGGACTATCTCGTATATGCTGATGTGAAGAGTTTCATTCACATGCCTGCTGAAACTTTGCATCTTGTAAATTCGGAATTCGGCTGCTGTTACCAACTCCCCTTTCGGGATCTGCGTCAAATCGAACCTAAATTCTTTCCAGTAAGGTTTCTGGTGGGAGAGATCTCTGTCCAGTTCCACTGGAAAAAACCAAGAAACAAACATAGTGACTGCAAAAATTTTATTTGGGCACTTCTAAGCCAAGCTTCTGACTGAAACACCCAAACCAGCGGGTAACATTAAAGAAGCCTAAATCATTTCTAAAAAGTCATGTTGTTAGTGAAAATGGCAGCAAGGATATGGTATTTCACTGCTATTCCCTCCCTCCCACTTCTAAACACTGCCTTCATGTAGGAAATGATGCCCATGGGACTTTGGCTGTCGGTCGGAATCATTCAGAAATCGGAGGCAGCCTTATTGCCCAACAAGCAAAATCCCACTGAAAGCCAGTAGGGCCTTTGCTAAGTTAAAACCAAAGTACAGGACAAACTCAATTCCCCTGTTCTTCCAAAACTGCCAACAAAATAACTGAACACGTTATTGGATGCAGTAAGATCAGAAGGAAAGGAAATGCAAAGGACAGACTGTGACAATTGTATTATCCACAGTGAACAGCTTCAGCTGTTGATAACAAACATGCTGGGATTGATACCTTAAGTAACACCACGCTGTGCCATTAAAGCAAAACAAGAATGCCATTTAGCCTGCCTTCTGACCACTGGTGGTAGAACCCAAATTCTCCACAAATTGTAATGTGTTGCTTCCCACCAGAATCACCTACCATTTTTCTCTCACAAACTTTTGAACATTCCCACTTCTTATGTCAGATTTGCACCCCTTTTTCCTTTACTGTAGAAACTGCTGTTTTCAGGGAAGCACCAATGCTTTAGATAGCAATTCTTGTCTTTTTTTAAAAAAAACACATCTGAATCCATGGTAGGGGAATGGAAAGACAGAAAGACAGCTGAGTAGAGAGGGGACAGCTTGTGTTTTCTAAGGAAGGACCTGCTGATGCGTGGAGATTGTGTGTTTGTGTGTGTGCGTGCGTGTGTGCGTGCACACACATATTCTTACTGTGCTTATCAACGGATAAGAAGCAATCTGGAAAATCTGCCCACTGCTCTAGAGCTAAGACATGGCACAAACTAAGTTACCTGCTGAATTCTCTCCTGCCCCACCGCCTTGCTCTACCGAAACCCAACACTTATTGTTTTAACATGTACACTGTAGATAAGGGCACGGGGTTTTCATGGCACAGCGCTGGGCATGCATGTGACACGAACACACCCCTCCACAGCTTTGACTCCTTCTCCTCTCAGGGAAATTCCCACAGACACACCGGTGGTGCCACGGTGGCCAACGTCCGGGCCTCCGTGAGGATTTGCTGCAGGTCAAGAGGTCCCAGAAGCGGATCCACCTTGGGCAGGGGGGGGCTGCACGCGAGGTCCCTCCACAGGGTGCAGAAATGGGAAACAAACCCAGGCTTCAGCCCATGAGTTCTTGCTGTTCCTTGTCTGGGTACAAGATTACGGGGAAATTCATGGGGCGGTTATTTAGCCTTGGGGCACCTGGAGAGGGAAGCCGTGGGAGGAACCTTGTCCTGGGAAAAGCAGTTTCCGCGTGGGCTCCAGGGAAGCCCAAACAACACTCTCCAGGATCAGGTGGAGGGGAGTTGGCCAGAGTGTTCAGAGAAACGCATTTCACAATAACACGACTGCCCATTTGTATAAATAGGAAGTGAAGAGGTTTCCTCTCAGAGACTCACTGGGAGGGCTTCCTCTCACAGAGGCACCGACCACCCCTCGGTCTTGCTGCCTCGGGCCCCTCCCGACCCCTCGCCTCAGCAGGAGCCGCTAAACAAGACACCACTCCACACTTCTTACATGACACCCTCGAGGCAACAGCCCCCCCCCCAATTGACTATCACCACCTACACCCAAGACGGTATATTTTCTAAATGGATCCATCCAAGGCAGCCGCTGTGCACCTTTCCGCCTGGGCCGACTTGCTAATAAGTCATCACAGGTCCCTTTGGCTTTTGAGCAGGAAAGCAACGTGGTTTTCAGCGACACGACAACCAAGGTGGAGGCCACTTGGCCTGCCCAGAGCTTTGTGCCTCTTTCATCTTTTCCGGTCCCCCTGGCTAACGGTGACAGTCACCGTCTCAGGCCATGTGTTTATACAAGGGGAGGAAGCTGCCGAGGGCCCTTCTCCAAAAACGGGAGGCCGAGATTTTGCGGGATGCCTCTTTCTGCCTCTTCAGAAACCACTTCTTTCTGCTCACTGAGGTTCACACCACAAACTTTTCATGTTGTTTTTAAAGAAAACCAAAAGAGAAAAAAAAGGAATCTGTCAGACGGGACAACCTGGGGCGGATGTGGAGAGCACCAGCTGATCGGTGGTTTTGGCCTGGTGGAATAGAGATGGGCAGGACAAGGGGCGAGGGCTGGAGGCGCTGAGCAGCAGGGCCCAGCGAGTCTCCTCCTCCTCCATTCAACTGTGCATTGGAGAGAGGTTCCACGCAGCGGTTTAGTCTGAGCAGACCATACACGGATAGTTGATCCTATTAATCTGGAGTTCTTCTATTTCTCTCCTTATTATTCCTCACTCTCAATGCAATAGTACGTTTCCTACCCAGTTTTCTAATGCATCTTGTTCCCCATGCAAGAGTGGCTTTAAAAATCAATCCAATCTATCAATCAATCAATTAATGAATGAATAAAAGACTTACTTCTTGGGATTCCAACAAGTCTCTCTCTCTCTCTCTCTCTCTCTCTCTCTCTCTCTCTCTCTCTCTCTCTCTCTCTCTGAGTCTTAAAAACATGGGGCCATATTTCTTTTCTACACTTTCCAGTGAACCCCTATTTTTTTCAAAATCTCTGCAGGTCCGCAGAAGATGATTTTGACACTCATGCCAGTTTTATAACGTTTCTAGCTGCTCTCTCTCTCTCTCTCTCTCTCTCTCTCTCTGTGTGTGTGTGTGTACATATCATTTTATTCTATAAATTACCCCTCTGCTGTAATTACGCCAGTCCCTGCTGCCTCAGAGCATTCTGTGTGCCTATTTTGGACACAAAATTAAAAGGAAATGCAGGCATACTGAAGCACTTAAAATGTGGAGTCTTAAAATATATTTGAATTCTATCTAGCCAGAAAATAAACCTAACACAAAACATCATCGGGAAGAGAAAGCATAGAAGATCGCCTTCAGATCTACCGAATTGTAGATAAGACACACTAGGTGGATCACTGGATTGATTTGCAGCCTCCAAACGACATTACTTTTGCCTCGCTTTTCTTCATGAGAACTGCAATTAAATGTTGATCTTTGTTACTCCTGTACCAAAGTGAGGATTTTGTGTCCTTAAAAGAAAAATCATGGTATCTTTCATGCTTTATCACTTCGCTCCTCTTTTGGGCACTGGCATACATTATTTTGTCCAGGATGTGTCCTTGCTGAGACATCTGGTGCTGTGCGCTTTGGGACTGGGCTCCTATCACAGGTCCTGCTCTTCCATCCTTTTTCATCTGGATTTCCAGCAACCTCCCTCCACCTTGTTTACCTGCTCTTTTCAGGGCGCCTTCCCTCCACCTCCCAGTTCAACTTTATTACTAGGCTCCGATGCTTCGCTCTCTTGCACAGAAAACTTTATTCAGCAGCATCTCCAGCTGCAGACATTTTACACAATTCCTAGCTTCACATCATTACCCCTAGGAGCTAGAAACTTGATTCACTACAAAGGGGGAGAGTGTGAAGATGTTGAATCGGGCAGCTAGCTAGAGCCTGTCCTGGAGCTTTTCCATTTACAGCACTGGCGCGTCGGTGGGGCTGGTCGGATCAGGGCCATCCCTACCACCTTTCCTCAGAAATTCCCAGGGATGTTGTCAAGTCTCTGGATCTAAATTGCAAGTCTGAGTTCAGGCCTTTGGTACCACGTCCGAGTCCCTATTGAATACAAGCTTTCCCCCCTTGGTGGGTTCCAAGCCGTGAGTCAAGTCCCAGCCATCGGGGGTGGGGGTGGGGAACCGAGTCGAGTCATGGGTATTGACTTAAGTCTGATTTGAGAACGAGTCCTGCCACGCGAGTCTCATCCCCAGACATTCCAGTCAGGGTGCTGAACAAATCCCAGACGTTGGGAACTCTTCAGTGTAGCCTCTGGTCACAAACATGTTGTTGTTTTTTCCTGCCCTCTGAGCCGGGATGAGAATTCAGAAAGAAATTGCAAGTCTGAGTTCAGGCCTTTGGTGCCAGGTCCAAGTCCCTATTGAATACAAGCTTTTCCCCCTTGGTGGGTTCCAAGCTGTGAGTCAAGTCCCAGCCATGGGGGGGGGGGAGAGAAACGAGCCGTGTCATGGGCATGACTTAAGTCTGACTTGTGAACGAGTCCTGCCACGCGAGTCTCATCCCCAGACATTCCAGACAGGGTGCTGAACAAATCCCAGATGTTGGGAACTCTTCAGGGTAGCCTCTGGGGTCACAAACATGTTTTTTTTCCTGCCCTCTGAGCCGGGATGAGAATTCAGAAAGGCTTCTTCCTGGGTGCCAGAGATGGCCAACGTTCCCCCGGCTCTTGAGGGCTGACACACAGAGAGAGAGAGACTTTCCCACTTAATCAGTGTAATCCTAATCTTCTGCTCGCTGCGCTGAGGTTTGTTTCGGCTGCCTCTGAAGGGGAAACCAGGCACCAAACCAGAGGCGGCCAAAAGCTGGCCAAAGCGGCCCCGGGCTAGCAATTACCCTGTCTCCCGGAGGTCACCGCCATGTCCGGGTTCCGCCTCCCTGAACGCCCACTCTGTGCTCAGGCAGTGCCCCCCCCAGCTGCTTCCTCCATTGCTCCGGCGGTGGAGTGAAGGGAAGCCGCTCCAGCCAACGTGGAGCAGAGAGGCCAAGGGTCTCCCCGGTCAGCCATTCTGCAGAGGCAGCTGCTTTCCAGCCCCCCTTCGCTCTCTGCTGGAGGTGGTGGCACCTGTCAGGGACGCCCAGAGGTAGGTCAGCAGAACCTCCCCTCTGCTGATGAGGGCCTGGCCCTCTTCGGGGTGAAGTAGGATCTGAAACCAGTCAGAAATAAAATGGAAAAGGAGAGGCAGGCTAGGAGGGACAGCTGGAGATCCTTCGCCTCTGCCTTGAATGACAGAATCTCCTGAATACCATCTATAGTGTTTTTTTTCAGTGTTCTAATCAATTTAAGATTTATTTTTTTAAAATAGGGCTACTCATAGCTATGATTTCCTGGAAACTGGATATATAGTTAAAATTTGTAGACAGTACACCAGCCTTTTAAAACCCCAGCCACAATGTTGGTGGTGCTGTTTTTCAATCCCAGTCCTGCTCAACTCCCAGAGGCCACCAGTAGACACGGGACAGCTCCACCCACCAAGAAGCTTTGGACTGCTGCACCGTCACCCCACCTGCCGGGGAGCCTGCCTCAGCCGGTGGCCTCTGCCCATGCCGGCCACTCTTTGGGCACCCCTCGGGGTGCTTCTGCAGGAGATCTTCCCAGCAGGTTGGGCTAGAAGGCCGTCCCGGCGAGGGTCTAAAAGCCGAGAGGTTGGATTCTTAGAGGGCCCGGAGCCATCCTCCTGAGGACGTAAGCAAGCCATTAAACTGGGTGGTTCCTCTGGCCAGCTTTCCGTGTTTCCCAAAAATAGCTGCTGTGGACGGCGTGCGGCTCTCAGAAGGCAACCTCAGTTTCCTCTTGGCATTAGGTCTCCGCAGCGCCTGCGGTCGGGAAAGGGAGTGCGATGCAGCTGCCATTTCCGCTGGAAATCAGGGCGGCTAGCGAGGCTCCTAAATTTAAAAATGTTCTCAGAATTTCTCTGATGCAACAGGCCTCCCGAACCTTTCCCTCTCGGGATGTTACCAAAGAGGAGTTCACCCTGGAGGGAACAGACGTGGGGCCACGGCGTGGATGGCTGTGGGCTTTTCATTTGTACCCTGGCGTGACCATCATTCCATCTGTCAGGCAGAGAAACCCATACAAACTCATAATTTCTGCTGATACACCCACCCACTCTCCTGAAACATGATTCTGTTGTTGCTCCAAACTAGCTCAGTTTGTGCAAAGTGTCTCATGCAATATCACAAAGGTCATTTTGTGTCAGCCACAGAATAGGTCATACGTTCATTTTTGAAATGCAGAACAAGATATATGCTTTTTACAAGACAAAAAAGGGGAGGGCAAGCATCTATACATGTACTTACAGAGCACAAATTTAGAACTGTCCCTCTGTATTTCTTCACTATCAATAATCCCGCAATATTTAAAAACTGGGAATAAAGGACCCATCTGGGAAAAGGCTGACATTGATGGCTGCTTTCTACTTTCTTACGTTTATGCAAACAGACTTTGTCTGCAGGATTTAGCCAAACAGTACCGCGTACATTTTGCAAACTGGTTGGAAGCCACACAGAATCTACTTTGATCATATTGCAGAAATCAGGGCATCACTGGTCATTTCAGGGCAGGCCAGAGCCTGTCGGAAGGAGCTAGCTTATGCCAGGCACGATCCTAAAGATCAGCCAAAGGATGGCAGCACCACCAATTCCATCAAGCAAAGGGAGGGGGGGGGGAGAGATCTGGCTTACAGGGCTGACTTTTCTGTTCCCAGGCAGAGGGAAGGCAGGAGGACTCCCTTGCTCCGCAGTCACATCAGTGCTGTGGGAAGAAATGTTCCGTGCTGTTGGGATAACTGGGAGCAAACAACATCCATCTCTACCCAGCTGGTACGCTTATGGCCAAAAAACACCCAGGCAAATGGGAGAGAGGAGAAAAGGGGGGGAGAACCCACACATCCTGAGCCACAGCATTTCATTTGTTTCAGAAATGGCATCGTTTGTACCACAAACTCACTGGAAGGAGAGAAATGATCTATTTTCCACTAAACCAGGGCTCGGTAGAGTTTGGGGCTGCTGCTATTTAAATGCAATTTATCTTGTATGATATACCAAGACCGGGCAGGCCCTTCAGACTTATGTGTCCAATGTGTAAACTCTATTTCAGGCGAATGCCTTGATACAGAAAGCTGTGTCAGCAAACCGGTGGAGACTCGGGAGCAGCTTTGCAACAGGAGAGGATGAAACCTCCTTGCCTTGGGTCTTTTTAAAGGGAAAGGTGGAGTAAAACTATTTTGAATAAATACATTAGATGTCACTCCCTCCAGAGAGACACTTTCAAAGGGGCCCTGATTACAATCGCGGTCTCTTCTTTCCCATTACGGACCCATCACACCCTGCCCATCAAGAGTAAGATCATCTGCAGCTTTAGAAGCAGGTAAAACCATAAGAGGGTAATCACACACTCTTCTTTCCCATTACGGACCCATCACACACTGCCCATCAAGAGTAAGATCATCTGCAACTCTAGAAGCAGGTAAAGCCATAAGAGGGTAATCACACACCCTTAAGCCAGCTTTGCTTCGAGCTGCAAGGCNNNNCCCCCCCCCCCGGCTCTTTTGGACTTCTGTGGTCCCTGAGACATTCTCTGAGGGGGGGGGAGAACATTTTCCCAGAGGCTGCTGGGCACTACAAAATGGGCATTTGGGCTGACCCCTGTGTTCGGAGTGGTCCAGCAAGAGACTTCAGAGGGGTGGATGGGGGTGCACAGAGACTGGGGGGGGGGCTCTGCTCATTTCAAGAAGGAAGGCCTATGAAAAAGAACTTGAAGGGGACAGGATTATACTACCGGGGACAACTGCGCCTCGTTTTCATTTATTAGGGTGGCCAGAAGAAGAGGAAGGGGGGGAAGTCACTCTTGAGCTGTTTTCTCCTCCAGGCACCAAAACATTTCAGCCCAACCGAGAAATTTCGGTGTGCCTGATTGCATCAATTTCCCATGAGAGCTTGAAACGCGCCCCTACCTAACCAGGTACCCTCAGGAGAGGCCCGGCTCAAAATGAGAGATTCTGGTTAGCCCAGCACCTGTTCCTCACACAACCCAGTTTCATTAGATCAGCAGGTCAGAGGCTCTGGAACTGGCCAGACTGGAATTTCCACACCCGTTCCCAGCAACCTGGAATGATATTTCTCAGAAGATGCTGTGCCGCTTGTGTGTGTGTGTGTGTGTTCTGCCCCATCAGAGGATGCAGCGGAAACCAAGTTCTGCTCTCTCCTCCTTGCCCCCTCCCCATTTGACTCTCACTGCCTCCCCCCCCGCTGCCCCCACCACCACGACAGGCTGCTTTCCTTTTTCTTGTGAGATCTGGTGGGATCCCCACAGAGCCACGGAAGGAGGTTAGGATCCTCTCCTTCCAAGAGTGGGGTCAGAGCAGCTGGCCAGCAACGCTGGACCACAGGAGAGCAAAGCACTTTGCAGACGGGAGGAGGGGGAAGAGGGGCAGAGGGAAAAGGAGAACCCACCACCGCCGCCCCCCCCAACCCCCCAACATGGCCTTTGAACACAAACGAGAACCCGTCGGCTCTTCTGAAGGGCTGCTGAGATGCATTCGGAGGGGGCTTGCGGACCTCCTTCTCCAAACGGCCCTAGAAATAAGTGCAGACGGCGGCGGGGGGGGGGATCCAATCGGGAAGAGACTCTTCCAGGTGACCCTACAAACGTCACCCAGACAACCTCTCTCTCTCTCTCTCTCTCTCTCTCTCTCTCTCTCTCTCTCTCTCTCTCTCTCTCTCTCTCTCTCTCTCTCTCTCTCTCTCTCTTTTCTCTCTGTAGGAATGCCATTCAAGCATCCGTCCCTTTTTGCTATCCATCAGGCTTCTATTTGAGACGTTACCCCGCGCGGGACACCTGGACACTGCAAGGGCGCCTTCCCTCCCCAAGTTCCTTTCCCATTTGCTATCCATCAGGCTTACCCCGCGCGGGACACCTGGACACTGAAATGGCGCCTTCCCTCCCCCAGTTCCTTTCCAAGACACGGCAGGAGCATCCGCTCCGAAGGGGTCTAGTAGTCCAAACCCAAGGCAGGCGTTTCCAAGCAGGCTGCGCGAGCACCCGGGACGCCGGGCTCGCCAGCTTCCCTGAAACGATGCCCACCTCCTCCCGGGGGGGTGGTGGTGGCGTGGCTGCTTAAGGGCTCTCGCTGCCGGGAGCTTTCTCGACCGGTTGGGTCCGGACTCTGCCTGCCGGTGGGTTCCACTTGCAGGGCTGCGCTCTGGAGCAAGCGGGGGGCGGGGGACGGCGCGGCTCCCACCTTCTTTCTGCCCAGGAGCCCTCCAGATATTGGGAGGCGGCGTGGGTGCCGCCCCCTTCCTCCCAGAACCGGGCTTCTTCTTCTTCTTCGAACCCTCTCGCCATCCTGGGCTTCTCCCCTGGACGGGTTCCCCCAGTGGGTCTCCTGGGAGACCTTTTCCAAGCCAAGCCCCCTGTTCCAAAAGACCTGCAGGCGGCAGGTCCCTCTCTCTGCCCCCCCCCGAACCCCACGGAATCTCCACCACTGCCTGAAATTAGGAGCTGGCGAAGGGCTGTTTAACCTTGTGTGTGAGACACCCTTCCCCCCCCTTCATGTCCCCAAGTGCAGGGTCCTTAATCTTGGAGGGCTCGTTTCCTTCACTGAATGCTCCCTAAATACGCTTTCTGGGGGCCGATACTTTCCCCACCACCCGCTATGCGGCATGGGAAAGCCCGAGTTCGCACTGACAGCTGCCCGTTTCTTTCCAAACTTCGCCGACCTGCCCAAAAACCTCGATAAATTAACAAAACCACCCAAGAGAGGGGCTGCAGACGTTCAGGGCCCAAGCAGGGGGAGCATTTTCACCGCCAATACCCTCCTGAGACCTGGTCTCGCCTTAGGAGAGGGTTCCGCGAAGCAA